TTGCTGAAGGGGAATCTGACTGGGCTGTTTCCATGCGAGTCTTTATTGTGCAGAGTTTTAGGTCTTTTCTCTTGGGCCAGGCAGGCTCCCATGGGAAGACACTTGTAAACAGGCCAAGGAGGTATAAACCTGCCTACCTGCCTGTCTCCAGCATTTTGGGAGTCAAGGGGGTGAGCTGGCAGGAGAAGGCTGTGGTTCTCAGATTTCAGAATAAACGTTTATTTAATCCTAACTCCAACTGCGCCTGATGTTTCCTCCCCTCCTCCACCCCAGGCCGAGTGCCCTCTAACCTGACCCTCTTCAGAGACTGAATCTGCAGTGCTCTGCCCAGCGGTGGGGTGGGGAGGGAGAACACAGAGCAGTCTGAGGTGGAAAAGAGATGTGGGGATCTAAGAGTTTTAAGCACATTTACAACAAATTGTCCTTCACTCTTATTTTCTAGAAGGGCGGAGGGCTTGATCTGGGCAATTCCTAAACACTTTGGTGATCGTATGACATAAATCAGATAGCTTCTCTGTTTTCCCCACTGCCAGCTTATGATTCAGTTCTTCCTGGGTGGCTAAAGTAGATTCCATTCATCCATCTGGCTTCCAAAAACTCTTTTCCTCTTTTACTTTAGTTGTCCTTGTGGGATTGTCTTCTGAAAGACAGTGTTCTGTTATTTTAGTTAGGTCCTGGGAGAAAGCTTTGCAAACATGCATCAAACTGCCATCTTTAACCAGAAGTTCCTTGTTTATTGTTTAATTTACTTTGCCTTATTATTTTATCTGTATCTTTGAAATGTATTTCTGGCATACAATTGGATCGAAATGAATAAATAAATTTCTATATGAGTTATGAATAGTACCGTGATTACTTCTTTAGCCTGAATTGGTAAGTAATTTATGTTCCTTCTAAATGTTAGTGACATAGTGACTAAGAAAGATTATTTGGTAGAATCCTTATGAAAATCCTCATGGACAATTTATATATTTTCCTATGTGGATGCCTAAAATTTCTCATTTTATTTTAGTCCCAGTTCCTGTTATTCAATATTTTATGGACTAAGAAAAAAAAACCCCACAGAACTGGCAAAATTTATACAAACTCTACAAATATCAAAAGGGAATATAAAAAATCAGCTCAAAAAGTCTAGACTGATTCCTTTTAGTTCTTGTCCTCAGTGCTAAGGAAATAAAAGCTAATAAGTGTATCTTTAGAGAAATTATTAAAAGAAGATGTAGATTTAAGAGAAACAGAGAACAAAACTGTGAGAGAGGAATAATTATCTGGACAACCGTGTAGTTGCTGGGTGGTGGTGAGGGGGATTGAACTGCCCTCGTGGGGTGGCCCCAGTTAGGCTATTCAATCATGGTGACCCCATTCTCCTCAGCAACTGCCTGAGGCACTTAGGGCATGGGTTTGGTACAGGATTGTCTCATGACATATGTAGGGCTAATGAGATATGAGGGGTAGGATTTGCTAGGATTGTCTAACACAGTGGTCGGCAAACTGCGGCTCGCAAGCCACATGGGGCTCTTTGGCCCCTTGAGTGTGGCTCTTCCACAAAATACTGACTTCTGCGCATGGCCACAAAGTTTCAATCGCACTGTACATGGTGTGCCCGCGCATGGTATATTGTGGAAGAGCCACACTCAAGGGGCCAAAGAGCCGCATGTGCTCGGCGAGCTTGAGTTTTCCCGCCCCTGGG